GCAGAGATTCAACATTTTATTGATATCTAAAATATATTTATTTAAAGTTGTTTCCACCAGAAGATACAAAGCAATACTTCAACAGCAAAGAATCTTGAATGTTAAAAAATCGTATAAAATATATATTAATTTTTACATAAAGGTGGACAGAGAACCTACTAACATTTTCACACAAGTGTATATTTTCATAATGTCTTAATTTTTGATATGTTATTAAAACTAAACTGCAAAACCTATCTATTTTCATATACCAGAAGTATTATTTTTTACAGGTCCAACTGATTCTGACAGGCAAAAAATCAACTACATTATAAAATTGTTTAAAATAATTAATTGCTGTAAGAATAATATAACAATAAACTAAAATACTGAAAGTAAAAATTTTGAAGAGTCTAGTTATCTTAAGTTTAAATTTTATAAACAAAGCAGGGCATATTTAAAACCTAATTGTTGAGTATCAGCAACTTTAAATATAATTTACAGTTATCTTAAAAAAGCTAAGAATTAAATTTTCAAGTCAACAAAACTACTATCTTAAATCTTTTTACTGTGTTTAATGCTAATTATTAGCACATAGCATATATACAGTTATGACTTTATTTGTTCCTACTGTGAGCATAGCTATAGATCTACAGCTTGGTGTTTGTCTATGCACATAAAAGAACACTTCAATCTTTGCATGAGGAAAGGATTTCATGTACTTCAACGTGACAACAGTCAAAAGTAGTGTTAATTTATTACTGTGTATTTCTCAAGATTTTAAACAGATAAGGATGAATAAATTTTATTAACTTATGCTCCACAATATTAACTCAATTTCAACACATAATCCATTACAGATTAAGTCAATTCAGCATCTGAAACATACTGAATAGCAAATATTTTAACATCACAGCACACTAAAAAAAATACATATTATAGTTTTGAGTCCTTATGAAACATGATAAGTATCACCAAAATATTAGTTAAATATGCAAAATGAAAAGCATCTTGACACCGATATTTTATAGCTATCACTTTTATATGGAAATGCAACAACACGTTTTAAAGTAATATAGACTTTACACTATTAATACCCATGTTCAACATTTTTTAATACATGAACTAGAAATACATATCTACATCACAACAATAAACATGAAAAACTACACATGGTAACAAATAATGGTGAAAATTAAGCTCATCCAAGAGAAGAAACTTACTAAACAGTATCTAGTATCAGCTTAAAATTTCACATAATTTCATTTAGTTTATATATAATTTTCTATCTCATGATATTTCAAAAATTTAATTATGAGACTTTTTGTAAAAACATTAAAATTACTTCTTTTCATCTTTAGATGTTTTCTGTTGTTGATCGTAGGTTTCATTTTACATATTCAATCAACTATTGGTTAATATTCATCAACAAATTTCTTTTGATACTTATTAAACAAAGGTGAGAATGTGGGCCGCACTAATAAAATCTACAAAAGAGAAATCAAGTGAGAAATAAAACATTGAAAATTATGTTCTTAAGCAAATATAAACTTAAGTTTTTGGAGGGGCAGAAAAATTATAAAATAAAAACTAATATGTGCATTGTTTACATGCAAGTCTCCTTAAAGCTGAACAAAAACATAAGTTTTAAAATTGTTTTCATTTTTCGTTGTGAATTATGTCAAACAAATGTTACAAAATGACAAAATATTAGTTCCAAATACTTTCTGTGATAAGAGTGGTTGAAAAAGTTAGATTTATAATATTTACTAAAGTTTTAAAATTTGAAATTTAGGTGTGCACCTTACATCTGAAAGGTGTACACTGGTGGATAGGGTTAAACTATACAAAATGAAAAAATCCAAACTTACCATCATCCGTTTGGCAAAGTCATTACCAACAGAAGAAACCTTGTTTTTAATGCTTTCTGATCCTGTGTCCAATCCATACTTTTTCTTTAAAGGCACTGGAGAGTCTTCATCTTTATCACTATCATGACTGGAATCTGATATTACAAGTATAATTATGAAAGAATAAACTATAGTTCAAGTAACAGAAAATCAACACATATTTAATAACAATATTGTTAAAAACTTTACTGATGCATGTAATAAAGAATACAGTGAAATCAGGTTTATAATTCCTTTCAATGATGCTATACATTGAAATACCATGAAAACAATCAAAGCAAGATATCTATTTGCTGTTTCCATTATATATGATTCTTCATAAAAGCACATCACAGAATAAAAAAAAGCAATTCATATACACAAAATTGACTTATTCATAAAGAAAATACATAAATAAAGGGTAATGTAGTTCTTTTTATTTTTCATTTTTTAGAAATAAAGTTATGCATTGTTCCTGTAAACACACCAACAATATCCATGGCATTTTTTCTTGTAAAAGAGCTAGTTCCAGTAGTACTTTTAACTGATATGTGAGCTTTCAGTATAAAGTTAATGAGCAACTTAGAACAGCTGTTCCACCACAAAATGTGTCTTAAATATATATATGTGCGTGAGTTTATGTGTGTGTGTGTGTGTGTATATATAATGAAGAGTAATTTCTACTTTTAGTTTCATAGAAAAATATAATAAAGCTTAAGAAAATGTTATATAATGTATAAGCTGAGGTACCCGTCCTTTATCTGGGTTAAAAAATGTGTGAGTGGATGCTGTGATAAATAAACCAAAGTTCCTAACTTTCACATAATATATTATTAAAGTATTCTTTTTCACCTCACCTAAAGAACAAAACACCAGGAGTAAGGAGGAAGGATGGGAAGTTTGAGGGGAGGTAAGTATCTATCAGAAGTACATTTTCTGTGTAGGAAAATTATACCTTCCAATATGATCCATTACCTCTTCCTACATAATACATAGAATCCCACATTGATCTGGTAAAGGGACCAGTGTAAATTGACTTAGATGAGCCCTCTTCAGAATGCACTTAAAGAAAACCCATGGAGTGTGACATCTCTGTGAAGAGGAAACACATCCTTGAGAGACTGCACTACATCTGAACAAGGTATAATCTTTGCCCTTGAAGTATCACAGTGTCACTAAAGGGGCAGCAAAGAGGCACATATGAGAATTAGCCATATGTGCTCCACGTATAGAGTGGACATGGCACATCTGACCATAGTCAGGAGATCAACTCCAACACTAAACCATCAAAACTGGGAAAGCAACTAGTATGAGGAGGGTCATCAACCACCTGTATTCAAACTGTAAACAGGAGGTCAACTCCAGTCCAAAATTAAAGGATCCAGGAATGGATCACCCAGTCCCCAGACGAAGTAGATCCTCAACCAACTGAAACCAGACATGTCTATGGTGTACAATGGCTAAGGTGCATTGAACCATAATCGAGAGATCAACGCTATCCAAAACCAGTGGAACTGGGAAAGGAATATCCAGCCCACAGGAGGAAGAAAGTCCTCTACCATTCATCTCAGACTCAGGAACCAGAAGGGAAGAAGACATCTGTTCTGAGAACCCAAGCCATCATGTGTGTATATCCAACATGACCAACACCTGTCCCCACTGAAACTGACATCCAGCCAATGGTAGGAAGGTGGAATTCAGAATGTATCATCCAGTCCATGGTAGGAAGAGGTTTCCAGCTCATTCAGATGTGAGGACTTATGTTGGTTGGTCCAGCTCTAATCTGACACCATACCACCAGGGAACTGACATCCGAGTGGCAGCAGGATGAGGGGTCCCAGCCAGAGGCGGGGTCCATGGTAAGAGGAGAGTTCTACAGAATCTACACTGGCAAAACACCACTCAATTGAGTGGTATTGAGCACACTCAGGAGGAAACTCCATGGATCACTACTTCAACAGTAAGGGACTGGTAAGTGGTAAGAACTTTCATACTCCAATGGAAAAAGGGAATGCATTGGAGAGTCCGGAGGAAAGCAGCACTGGAGAAAGTGTACTGAGTGACTGCAAAACCCTATACTTAAAAGCAGGCAGTTCCTAATTCATTCAAATGAAGGAGCAGCAGAGATCGACAGCAATCCCGTTTTGCTTTACTCATGCTAGTCCATGAGTGTACAGTCCAGTACAGACATGTTTATGATTCAAAACACTACAAGGAAGTAGTTTTGTGGAACACCCCATCTCAATAGTGGGCGTTAATGACCTTATTGGTCATACAGTGCAGATTTAAGAATTAGTATACCCGGACAGGCATCACTCATCACAAATTGGGATCTAACAAAAAAAAACAACAGAAAAGGACCCTGTAAAAGAAATATTGATAAGTAAAGTATACTTACCTACTTGTAGTTGCACCATAGCATGTAAGACTGCAACAGGAAGCAGATGGAATCCAGTCAAGGAGGAGACAGCCAAATGATGTAGATAATGTGAAATAAAAGAGTGAGGAGTGGTCCAAATGCAGGCCCAAATGATCTCCTCCAATGGACAATGAAAATGAGTAGCCAAGGACAGGATGATGGATCTGATGAGAGAAAACCTGGAAAAAGTGACAGTCATGTAAGGATAAGGAGGAATAAACCAAATTATAAGTTGGAGAACCCAACCTGTAAGAGCAATTGAGGAAAGGTCTCTGAATGAGGAAAGATTCCAGGGGATAAAGATCGAGAATGGGAACCATGGAAAGAAGCCATGTGCACTGCATAACATTGTAATGCTTGAAATGGTCACGAGTTGACCCAAAATGAAACAGGAATACAAGTGAGAAATAGAGGGTAGGGAAATAGGGGTGAATACAAAATTACTCCCATGAGCTGCCAAGATCTTGGGAAGGAAGGCCCTATTAGGGTAGAAGATGACATAGGTGCTGTGGTAGAAGATGCATGAAACATCAATGGCAAATGCATTTGACCAACAATGCCCACAAGCTAAAAAAGAGGAGGAAATAGTTTTAAAGGGAAGATGGAACAATGAACTATTTACCCAAGGCTCAAATTGGGGAAGGTTCAGGGCATGTAAGACTACATTCAGATTCCAATCTGGTAGAAGAGTGGGTTGGGGAGAAATGAAACAAAAAGATGACTGGTAAGGAAAAAATATGGTGGAATTTGAAAAAATGGAATGTAGAGGAAAAGGCTACCCAGTAGCCTTAAATGATAAACACAGAAAAACCATTGTCCAACAGCCACGTGAAGAACTCGGAATGGATAGGGGTAGTGGGGCAAGAAGAAATGAGAACACGATGGAACAATCAATAGCAAAAAATACACCATTTGCACTGATACATGGATAATGAGGAAGGACAGGCCTAATGGGAAATAGGGGACAATACCCATGTGAAAAGAACAGTCCTTCTTGCAAGGGACCATACAAAAGCCAAGTATGAATCTGGGGTGTGTGGGAATGGACAGATAAAAAGTGGATGAATGTGGTTGACAAAGAAGAGACGGAGAGGAAGAAGTAATAGTGGTGACAACTAAATGCACTGGAAGTGGAAAAGAAGGGTGAGAGGTGGTGCAGAGATGGAAGTATCTATCTAAAATACATTTTCAGGTAAGGAAAATGTTAACTTCAGAAATGATATTCACCTCATTGCACAAAAAACTAGAATCCCACACTGAAGATGGTGGAGGAGATGACAGAGAAATGACAAAGATGACTTTCTTTCTAAAAACAGCATTAGAATAGAAAAGCCCATGAAGTGTGACATCCACAAAGTGGAGGTAAGCCTAGTTGAATAGCACTCAGTGGAAGACAGCATCCACCTCAAACAGTGAATACTCTTTGCCCAATAGAGGTAGTAGAGCAAAAGATATTATTATAAGAATTTTTGTTGGGCAGAATGGCATATTGTTCAGTTATCTATTATCTCACAGGCAGAGAGCTCAGTATAAGTGTGTAGTGTAGCTAGGGTTATAAGTCAGGCCATTTGATACTGGAGACATACGTGAAATACTCACAACAAGAATCAAGTGCAGGGAGTAGCAAATTAGACCCATGTCCCAATGCAACCCCAAGATTTATCTGCTGGACCTAACCACAGGGAATGGCTTAGTTCATGATACTTTGGGGTGCCCTGTACTACACAACTAGATAACACCCTAGCCCTACTTTCCAAATAAGAGGCATATCTACTTGATCCATACCATTGTGACTGCATTGCCCCTTGAGGAGCTCTCTATATCAATTTCCTGAACACCTTAGGACTAGGGAAACAAGGGTTCTCCCATACTCCACTAGAAGAAATGGGGAGGAGGAATTCAAGTGGGGAGTACAATGGAGAGATGCATTGTCTCCAGACACAATCATCTGAAATTAGTCCCCACAACACCAGACAGTGCAATGGGTTACTACAACTAAAAATAGCAGGTACACACATTAGTAACTCAGTAGATTCCACCATCTCCAAATTATAGATGTATAACATTAGAATAAGGTAGCTGTGACACCTGAAAAAAAAGCTAGATGTGAGAGGATATTATGTATCGTATCCAAAAATTCCATTAGCTGATTGTCTCAAACCCAGCATCTGAATGAACTAGTCTCACAAGGAATTTAGTAAGGTACAATCTTCTCTTTCTGTTGTTAATAAATAATCCAATAGGAAATGTCAAGAATTACCGACATTTTGTGAAAGACAGATTGTGAAATGAGGGGTGTGGCATATCAGTTTGACTTTACTGTTGATATGTCATTAAAAATAATGCTTTGAGGCTATATATATATATATATATATATATAT